GGCTAACTTTATTCCTTAATGTCAATGAAGCCGAAAAAAATTTCTACAAAAACAATAAACATACTAAGTTAGATATACCAAAAACTACACTGTGAAGATATACCAAAAACAATAAACATAAAGTGTAGTAGTTTATTCTTGAAACTAAAATTTGCAACACTGTTCTGTCTTTTGGTTGAAATGAAAATCGCAACGAGAGAATGACTATCGCAACGTGGAAATGACTATCGCAACGCGAAATTAAAATCGCAACGAGAGAATCGCAACGCGAAATGAAAATCGCAATGCGATTTTGGTTTCGCGTTGCGATTATCTCGTTGCAATTTTCATTTCGCGTTGCGATTTTCATTTCTCTCGTTGCGATAGTCATTTTCGTGTTGCGATTTTCATTTTCATGTTGCGATTTTAAGTTTAGAAACTATTCTTCTTCTGCAAATTGAAACTTTAATGGATTGCATTACTTCAACCAAAAGACAAAACAAAGACAAATACTAACTTCACAGGGTTAAAGACTAAACAGTTTAGTAGTATTGGCAGCAATCGAATTAATTTAATAAGAAATCTAAGTGAAATGGTTAATCTATTATTGAAATTACCAGTAAACTTATCATCAATTTCAATATGAAAAACCTAAAATAATGCAAAATTTTCAAAATAAAAATAATTAAAAAAACTAACACTCGGAGGTTGATTTTCCATTTCTGAATGATTGTGAGGGATTTCTGATCGTGAATGGTTGTGAGGGATTTCGTCGGAGATGGGGACGGAAATCTTCGGAGATGTGGACGGATTTCGCCGTAGAGAGTGAGAGATGGAGATGGGACTGAGTTGTGATTTTAGGTTTTAGGTTATGAGTTGCGATTACGGGATATACTGTGGACGGTTCAGTGTTACGATAATTAATATTCGTGTTTGGAATTTGAAAATAAAATACGCGTAGCGATTCTAATGGCGCTTTAAAAATCGCATTGTGATTTTACGTATTGTCGTTGCGATTTACGGATACGCATTGCGATTTACGTATTCTCGTTGCGATTTACAGATACGCGTTGCGATTTACGTATTATTGTTGCAATTTATGGATACGCGTTGCGATTTTACGTATTGTCGTTGCGATTTACGGATACGCGTTGCGATTTTACGAATACTCGTTGCGATAGTCAGAATCGCGTTACGATTTATATGTTCGCGTTGCAATTTTCATATTCGCATTGCGATTCTGGAAAATCGCAATGCTAATTTGTACTATCGCATTGCGATTCTTCATAATCGCGTTGCGATTCTGGGAACTGATTTGCAATTTTGGAGATCGCGTTGCGATTTTTATTTCGCATTGCGATTTTGTTGGTCATTTTGGCAAATCCAAAAAAAGTTGGTTAAAATCGTATATTATAAGGCATTTTTGGTCACTGAGGTTATTTTCTCTTTAATCAAATAATGTCACGTGTCATTGGTATCACGTGTCATGTGTCACTATTTGATTAGAATACTAACTTTATTCTAATTTAATATATTTATTTTAATTGAAAGAAAAGAAAACAAAACAAGTTGGAGCCAAAGGAATTTGAAACCTAGGTATTTGGACCCAACTATTGAATTAAGACCAATACTTAATCTAAAATAGATAACATAATATATATATATATCTTAGTGTATAAATACTTAACTTAATTTATAATATTTTATATATATTAACTTTTAAAAATATTTTTATGTTAACATATTAAATATATTTTATTATTAACTTAATTTGTAAAATATTTTTATTTTTATTTTATTTTAATTATATGTTTTATTTTACAATATTTTGAAGTTGCAATGAGAATAAAATATATTTATTAATTTAAAGTAATAATATGAATATTTAGTAAATTAAGATAAAATATATATTTTCTAAAGTTAAAATAATAATAAAATATATTTTTAAAAATTTAGATAAGAATAAAATATATATTTTTAAATTTAAATTAAAATAAAATATTTTAAAATTAAGTTAATAATAAAATACATAATAAGTATAAAAGAAAATATTTTTTAAAGTTAATATATATATATATATATAATATTATGAATTTAAGTTAAATATTTATATACTAAGATACATAATATATACATCATGTTATCTATTTTGGACCAAGCATTGGTATGGACTTAATTTGGTATATGCTTGGTTTTTCAAGAGGCCCAAATTCGAATCCCTTTAGTCCCGATTTGTTTTGCCTTATTTTCTTTCAACAAAAGTGTCACCCTCTAATTGGTGGAAAATAAATATTTTAAATTAAAATAAAGTTAGTCATCAAATCAAATGGTGACATATGGCACGACATGTGACATTGATGTCACTTAGTATCATTCGATTAGAGGATTAAATTTATTTAATTTATTAAATGTGTGACTAAATTGAGAGAATATGTAAATAACAAGGAGTAAATGTATGATTATATCCAAATATTTAATTGCCATATCACCTAATATGTTAATTGTTAATGATAGTTAACCCGTGGTGACCACGCCTCAATTAAATTAAAATGAAAGTGATCATATCTTAACTAAATAAAAATAAAAGTGATCATATCTTAATTAAATAAAATGAAAGTGATAATATATTATGTTTATTGAAACCAGTGGGGAAAAGTGGATAAAACACAAACATGAGTGATCAATATATAGTTAACCTTAATTGTATCATGTCTTTAAATTATGATTCTCATTTTAAATTGATCTCTAAGTTTTTAAATATTTTGATTTTATTACCAAGCTATGACTCTTGTTCTAAATTAGTCTTAAAATAACATTCTAATTCCATACTCAAATTATGATCATCATTTTAAATTGATCTCTAAACTTTTGAACATTTTAATTTCATTCCAAACTACTGCTATATACTAATCACATTCATAAAATAGTTGGGTGAAGCTATATTATTAAATGTTTGAAAAAATAGATTAAAAATGTTGGAAACTAGTTACATACTCGGGTGAATTTGATGATAAAATTTGAAGATTCGATAGTTTGGGACTAATTTAGAATGATAGTTATAGTTTGAGAATGAAATTATAATATTTAAAAATTTAAAAATTAATTTAGTATAGAGTCATAGCTTGAGACTAATATTGGAATACTAAAAATTAAAATAATCAATTTAAAAGAAAACATAATTTGAGTACGTGCTATACAATTAATTTATTTTCAAATTAGTAATTATATAAACAAAATTTACAGAATTAAAGTCCAATTTCACTTTATTTTAAAACTTTAAAGAATTCAGGGACCAGTGACAGGTCATAAATGAATAATGCATAAAACAAAGGGATCTATAAAATTTTCTTTTTTCTTTCTTTGGCTAACATATACTCACTATTCACGACGGCTAAAAATTTTAAATCCACAATCGCCCACATAAATACATACTCAAATCTATCCCTACACTCACTATCCAATTAGATACTCACCACCCATCACGTACCCGTCTATATTCATCTATACCTACCAATTTGAAATAGAAGAAACACGGATCTTTAACTATAAAAATGTTTATAGTCTAATATTTGATTAAATTACAAGTCATGTCCAATAAAATCTTAAGATTTACAGAGTAATCTCTAAAATTATACTTAAATTCATAATGATCCAAAAATTTATATGGTGGGCAGTTAGTAAACAGGCTGATGTGGGGCGAGCAGGTAAGGTCTCAAACCCATCATCTATCCACTATCCATAGTGTATATGATTTTTTCCATCTATATCCGCACACTACCCATTAAATTTATACACATCTCCGTACTAATTGAAATGAATACGGTACGAAATCTACGAAATTGTACCCGTACGTCGTCTCTATATATCATTACTCATTGATTGGTTGTCAAATATAAAATATGGAGTGTATTTTGTGGCCACTTATGAACTTGTGGACCGCACAAGAATATCCTAAACAAAACTTTAAGATGAGGAATGAATTGAATTCATATTAATAAAAGGTTAAAATTGGTAATCAAAATCAAGGATATGCATCATTACACTATTAGATCATACATAGTAAGATGCATTTAGGCTTTTACTTTAATTCAACCTCTTAATTAATTACAAGATTATCTTTATAATTATTATTACTGACTTGGGCATCCCCGCCCGATGGTTATTAATTATACTTTCTTAAACTATTACTTTCATCTTATCATTAGTCCTCAAATTTTTTAATGATCCAATTTCATCCCCAAACTCATGAATGGTTTTAGTAGACATTAGGTTGTTAATAATTTTGGGAATCAATTTGGAGGAATAGTCACAATTTAGGGACGAATTTAGGATGTTAAAAAGTTTAAAATCAATTTAGGATAAAGATCTCTCTCAACTCAATGTAAAATGTCAATTATTTTAGGAAATAATTAATTTTCTATGAATTTAATAACTGTTGTTAATAAATATTCTTTAATTTATATTTTCTTAGAACAGAACTCCTTCATTATAAGGAAACTAACTACTTCAATTCATGGATAATTTTTTTTTTAAAAAAATGTTCTTTATATTTCTAAATAATTTAATTAAATATTTACCACTAAAACAAAATGTAATTTAATTTTTTGATTGTAGTTAATTTTAATCGACTTAATTTTATATATTTTGCAAATTTTCAAAGTTTAAATCGATTTTGATATCTTCTTATGTAATTACATTTTTTTATAAAGCTAAGATGATTATAAAATAGTATATGTTCTAAATATTTTTAACTATTTGACAATAAACGCTTAATCAACTCACTTCAGCTATTGGTGCTCGAACCCGTGACCTCTAAGAACAACAACGATTCATTGAACTAACGAGGTAAGTTGATTCGTGCTCTTATATAATTACAACTAATTATAATTAAAGGGAAAATGAGATGTTTTATTGGATAAATGGAATACATAGTAAAAACCAGGAAATGCTGGAGTTCATCATTTACCTATAACTCCATGCAAGGAGGGGGGAATGGAAGAACATACGATGAACATTTCCTGTAAATAGTTCCGAACATGTCGAAAACGCTGCCTGATCACATGTCGGATATAAGAGAAAGTGCTTAGCAAGCCTGGCCTTTTTTGCAGCCAAGTACGCCGGAATCCTTTGTGAGTAACGGCGTCATTTTACCAGGCTGGTAAGAGAGCATTACGTCGCTGCCGTATTTCTTGCTGACCCACGAACTGCCGGACTCGACGAAGAAGGCACCATTGTCGAACTGATCACCTTGGGATATCCAGTTCCAGTTCTTCCACTCTGATTCTGGGGCGTAATCCCTCTTGGTCACTTCTTTGTTTACTTTTTCCGATGAGGCGGAGTATCGGTTTCCCTGGCTGACATAGGTAGGGTGGCTGCTGCCGCCGATGGCGTACATCAGCCAGTGAGTGTAGTCGTTGTTTACGACATGGATGAAACCGAACCGGCTTCTCGGCATTCTCTGTACTAACCCTTTACCGAAATGGTTCAAAGCGACGGTGATCTGCATTTTCTCGTCAAGGTCGTACGAGTCGTGTGCTCCGAACAACATCACGTCGTTGTGATCGGTGAAATGACAGTTGGAAATGGTGATGGCGGTGGAGCCCTGGATAGCGTCGATGAGACCGTCGGAGCATCGGTACATGGAGAGATGGTCGATCCAAATGTTGGTCGATCCGAAGATAGAGATCCCATCGCCGTCACTCTTCGTCCTAATCCCGGCGTGTTCTTCACCGTCCTTGATCGTACCACCTTCACACGCCACCGTGTCGTGGATACGAAGGTTATGAATAATAATATTCTTCGCGAACTGGATAGTAATACCGGCGCCGTAAGCGATGTGCACTTTAACCCCCCTTCCGTCGATGGTTTTATCATTGGTCATAATAAGAAGCTCATGTTCCGGCGTGATCACCATCGAATGCTGGAAGATGATCCAAAGCGGCCTCGTCTGGATGACGGCGTGGCGAAGGGTTCCGGGCTTCGGGTCAAGAACATCATCGGAAGAATCGGTGACGACATAAAACTCGCCGCCTTTTCCACCGGTGGTGCCATGGCCGAATCCGAGGGCGCAATCGGCAAGCTTCATCCTATTAATCTCCCAATATTCATCGCACCGCCAACACTGATCGATGGGGTTAGACGCCTCGCAAGGACCACCATTCTTCTTCTTCCCCCTCATATCGCGCCTCGTGGAATTCAATCCCATCAAAGTCTTGGCCGCATGGTCGTTGTAGTGATTAACAATCTCCTCCGGTGCAGGACGGTAAGCCTTTTCCAGGTTCTCTTTCGCCATTAACTCTCTTTCCCTCAAGTAATCATCGTATTCCCCGATGTGAGCTTGCAGGGTTTGCATTAAAACGAAAAACGACCACCAGAATCCGAGGATGCTACAACTACTATATCTGCTGGAATCACCCATCGTCGTGCGTTATTCAGCCAAACCCAGCAAGTTGAGCTCAAGCTCGTTGGTGACTAAAACTGGGATTAATTTTATTCGAGTTGACCATCATGATGGGGGGAATGCATCGCTCTTTTATACTACACGATACACACTATTTTTAGTCATACCAAGGAGAGGAGATCCTCAAATTGTTAACAACCAATTTCCTCAAATGTCTCTTTTCATCCATACATGTTTGCTTATAATAAAACCCGCGACTAAATTTATAACACTATCACGTCTCTTTTAATTATATTATAAATATAGACATGTCTCCCAAATAACGATGAACACCGCTAAGCACTATTAATCTAATTTATAGAAATTTAAAATTTAAAATTAGTTAAAATTGTAATGGTAAATTATTTACAATAAAATGCTAATTATATTTTTATATCTTTTAATAATAATTGGATCACGTATCAACTCCTAAATTAAAAAATCGTAAATATTTTTTCTTCCCATTGAAGCCGCCGCTATTAACCTCTCCCGTCGGCGAGATAATCATGTTCGTCACTCCTTGCATGGTTGTCGTTCCCCATCGTTCGCGCAACCAATCCGGTAATGTAAACTTTCTTTAGTTTTATTTGGTTTCGAACTTGGGCGACCGTCCAAGCCGTCACCGGCGGTTAGCGCCTTCAACGGCAATGGCTGCTGCTGGCCGTGTGCGACGGCCACCATCGATTTTAATCTTCCCCTAAACACCTAATCCCCAAACCCTAACCTCAACCATAACCCTAATTTTCTAATTAGGCTAATTGGAGATCCCTAATTCCCAAATTAAGTATTGTAATTCTCAAAATAGAACACAATTTCCAAACTTGAACTCTAATTTTTATATTAGAACAGTAATTTTCAAATCCAATTTCAAATTCCTAAATTAAAACCCTCAACCGTACCGTACATTGTTTCAGTTGTATTTTTATATAAATATTTAATACTATATGAACATAGGAATGAGTATTAATCCAGTCAGATTGGAGTTTTGACTCACTTGAATTCAACCCAAGTATTATATCATTTCATGCAACATCCGACCTAACTTGAACTTAGGGAGTTTCACTCGATCTAAAATTTGATTGAATTTTATTAGGCAAAATAAGAATTAATTTGAAAATAATATAGAGAGATAAGTATTATTATAATTATCCCTAAATATTTAAGGAATAATTATATTATTATCTTAGGTTAAGTCAAATATTTTTCATGCTGAATCCGAACTTGACCCGACAGAGTCCAAATTTTCAACAATAAAAAATCAATCTTGTAGTCAGGTCAAATCGAAATCCATGAGATTTAAATCAAATATCCATCCCAATATGAACAAGGATTACATATAAAGCACAAGCAAAAAAAATAAATCAAACATTTGATCAACCCAAAACCTTTACATAAAAGGACAAAAAATGCAATTTAAAACAAATAACAGTGTGCTTTATGTGAATCAGCTGCGAGAAGCAACCTAGTTGTTTGAGCAGAAAGAGAAAAGACTAACCTTAATCATAAGATCACAGATTATCAGTTTCTTACCACTACCTTGCACTGGCACCACCACTGATCTGTACTGGTAAGGAACCCTTATAAGCCTCCGATACCACGGCAGCAGTTTCGGAGAGACTAATCCTCATCTCCGAAATTTTCGATTCAACATGTTCTTTATATTTAGACACCGAATCAACCACCATAAAGAGTTGACGTGCATGCATCTGGATTTCCTCTTCAGTTTGTTGAATTGTTTCTTGCAACCTCAGTTGGGAAGCCTTCATTAAAGGAAAAATAGAAATTTTGATTACTGAAGTCTATTTATTTATAGCCAATGAAGCAAAATATCAATAAAAAGGCCTACCTTTCGGATCTCTGCTGCTTCTCTTTCTGCGATATCTAAATTATGAGCTTCAAACTGGACATCGTCGACCATTTTCTTGGCTTCTGCATTATTTCTATGATCACTTTCCTGCATTTCCTTCTTGCATAAATTTATTTGGGCTTCGACCTGACAAGAACGATTAATATAGGAGGTTAATTTAAAAAAATGACCCTTTACAATATATAGGTTTGAGCATTACTTGCAAGTTTTATTTGTATTTTCAGCATTAGCACCAATGAAATAGAATGCAAACAAATATTAGTGATAAAAAGGGTAAAAATATAAGAGATTAATCTGGGAATGAAGGTTAATGGAAGAACAAAATTAAGGTCAAGATGGAATAGAGTCACCCTGAAAGTTCTGTTTCAAGATTGAGAAATTCTTGGATCTGGGATATTCAGTGGTCAGTTGCCTTTTGAGGAATGCAACAAGAATTTCCAAGAAAGCTATAGTTTTTTCTTGTGTTCATCGTATTTTCCACAAGAACTGAACATTTTAGCCCAATTAAACAACATAAACGGGTTGTGGAAACTAATACAGGCATCATCTTGCACTGCTGACATGCTTAGATACCTCAAAGTAGCAAAATAAAGATCTGGATCATCACGCTACTGTCGGGGATAATTTAAGTGATTTATATATCAAGAGAGAGGAGACTGAGCCATCAAGCATAACTTTAAGCATGAAGTTATATGGCTATTTGCCCCAAAATGTATGGCTATAGAATTTCAATCTTCGTAAAGGTCAAATTGAACAAAGGCTTTGGAGTGAGGAAGAAAACTTGGTGCAGGGGTCAAAATCCTGACATATATACAAGCTAGTCATGATATGCACCAAAAAGGAGTCAAACAAAAAAATCATATCGGTAGACTGGTAAAATGCTACTGTACTAAGCAGACCTGATTTAAAATTACTTACTCCATCAGTACGGGATTGAAGTGCAGCAATAGTGGTTTGCTTGTCCTCAATTGTGGCAGCCATTTCTTTTGATTGTTGTTGAAGGACGATCAAGTCTTCAAACTTTCTCTTAGAACTCTCCCTTATTTTATCAGCATAGCTTTCGAGCTCAGGCTTAAGTGTAGTTTTGTAGTCAAACCCCATCACCTCAGCAGGTGATGAACCTTTGGCGTTCAGCTCATACTGAAAATCATTACCAATCTTCAACCTAAAACCACAAAGAAAAATGAGAGCCTCACTATTAATTGTTTACCAACTCACAAGCGGAAAACGTACTTAAAATAACAAATCCAGGCATACCAAAACAATGCACAATACAGCAAACACAAATTCAGAAACTTAACATAGACTTCACAGAACAGAGTCAAAGACAAGATCTAGAGCAGAGCGGGGGGGAGAAACTCATCCAAAACCCATGGGCAAAAGAGCATAAAAGCTCTTAAAACAAGTTCATTGAGTTCTTAAACCCCAAAATAAAATTTCGCAATACACTGAAACTCAGTTTCCATTACCTTAACTTTCAGCAGATATGACTAAAACTATTGCATCTAAATTCCACTTTTAACCACAAGAAAGGATTCACTAATCCATAGTTTGAACTTATTAGTAGTAGAAAACCAAAGTCCAGATCAAATGCATAAGCAAGACGTCAAAAAAATCATGAGAAATGTAAATATAAAACACAGGATAAAGAAAGCAAACTAAAAGCTCAGGAAACCTCCTAATTGCTTGGTTGCATTCCATTGCAAGCGTCGTAAGCTCCTTAAGCTTCTGCCCTATAGCACAATCAAGATCCCAAGACTTATCCTCCCACAAATTTCTCGCAACCTCTGCGTCCACAATTTCCTTCTCCACTGCATCTCCCTCTTCATCCTCTCCACATCTCTAGCGTTAAAAGTTTGCAACTCCACTCTATTCTTAAGCTCCTCGTTCTCCTCACAAATCCGATTCCTCTCCTCTTCCTTTGCATTCAATTCTTTCTGCTTCTCCTCCAACATCTTCTCCAATGCAGCAACCCTTGCTGTAAACTCAGCAATCATTGCCTGAAACTTCTTTACATCTTCTTCCAACACATTCTTTTCCTTCTCCAACGTTTCCCTCTCCGTTGGCCCGGTCCTTAACCCCTCGGCTTGAGCTTCCAGTTCTCCAACACTCTTCTCCAAAGCCCTGCAATTCTGTATCACATGTTCCTTCTCTTTCTCAAGCTTCTCCACGAACTCCTTATCCAAAACCTCCACTATATCATCCTCCCTTCGTAAAAAACGTGTATAGCATTCCAAAGCATATTCAATCATACTATTGTTTTGAGCAAAGGAAGTAGTGTTGCTCTGAGATAAAATTTCATTGTGGATTGAAAGCTGGACCAGCCAGTGAATGGTACCAAGCCAATTAGGCCAATAGTGGGGGGTATTAGGGGCACGTAGAGAAGATTTGTTGAAATTTAAGGGGCAATTAAGAGATTTCAGTAGTAAACCTAGGCGTCTTCGAGTTTGGTGCAAAGGAAACCGAGAAGAGAAAGACGGGAGGTGAGGATATTCGAGAGGTCTTTAGCGGAAGCTGCCAGAGATGGTTTGGTGGAGATGGGTGGAATTGAATGGGAAGAGAAGAAGGCGTTAATATAACGGATTGTCGCCTCTTGGAAGGCGCGGTCGGCGTAGAGTTCGACGGCGGAGATGGCGCGTCCCGCAGTGACGGAAGAGGGCCGGCTGCTGGCAAAGCCGGCATCAGAATCACGGGACTTCTGTGCTAGTGGCGGGTCGAAGGAATCATTGTTACGGCCGCGTCCGGTGGCCCTCATTTTCCTCCGTCACCTTTCTTCTCTAAAAAAGATGATCGTGATTTGTGAGGAATACACACTTCTTCAGCTTTTCATTTTCCCGCTGGATAGCGGCGTAGGGATCCCAACTCGAATGTTTTTTTTTTTGGTTATTATAACTTTTGGTACCTCCTTTTAGCATTGATGTACAATGTGGTCCTCAATATTTTTTGTATACATAGTATTTTTTTTAATGATGATCTTAAGTAATTACTAAATTTTTTTAGTGCAACTAATAAGCATCCAACTTCATTTTTTTTTATAGAAAAACGTTAATTTTATTAAATAGAAAATATCCAAAATTTCAATGAAGATTTATAAGTATAACATAAACGTAAATAAAATTATAATTAATACATTCTCCTATAACTATTGACACAAAAACTAGTAAACTAGATTATACAATGACCAAAAAAAGAAAATATTAAAAAGTCTAACCAATACTCGAACAAAATAACGATACAAACAAATATGACTGTATCGATAAACGAATCACAAATGGGAATGAAGCTATTAAAGGCAACCGAAAATTTGTAAATCAGAGTCAATTGACATGGAAAACTATCCACAAACGCAAAACGTGTATCCAAATCAATCCGATGGTCCAAAGCAAGGAAGATCATCATGATAACAAATAAGTGTCATCTTAATCAGTCGTGACGAAGTCAAATCCAACCCTGAGATAAAAGATAAACGAAAACAACGACAAAAAATCGTAAGCTACCAAAAGAGAAAGAAAAATGTGTCACAAAGACAGAAATAAACGTGTTATAAAGACAAATAAAATGTCACAAAGACATAATTATTCTTATTAAAAACTAAAAAATAAATAAAAAAATAATTTACGGGCGACAACCAATATCAAAATCAATGTTAAACAAAATTAAAGGAAAAAATTAAATTAATAAATCGACACAAGTTGTAAACACAATTAAAAAAAAGTTAGATTAACCATCCAACTTCAACAGTTATATATATATATATATATTATATTTCATGATAATCAAACTTGGAAATTTAACGCTCAACTTTAAAATATGTGACAAGTATTAATCTTCTAACTAAATGAAATTAAAATTATAAATATGAATCAACTAGAACTGCGCATATGCAATTAATTGCATCAAGTATTTCATCGGTGTATCGCTAAATTTTTTTTTATCTTTGTTGATCGACGGTGACATTAATTTTAGTGTTGGTTACCGATTATCGGTATTCTTTATTATTTTTTCTTCTTTGTATTGTATCTTTATTTTCTTTTGTTTTTTCATTTTCAATAAGTCTGTCTGTATTGCACGTTTTCTTATGTGTTTTGACATGTTTTCGGTTCTTTTGTTGTTTTTTCATTATTTTTTCTAAGGATTGATTTGACACTGCCACAACTAATAAGATGACGCTTATCTGATATCTTGTTGATCTTCCTGCTTTAGACCCTATGGTTGGATTTGAATACCCGATTTGCGTTCGTAGATAGCTTTTATGTTGCTCGAGTCTGATTTACGATTTGTCGGTGATCTTTCAATAGATTAATCCCTTTTTGTAGTTCGTTTGCAAATACCATCAGATATGTTTGTATCTATCTTTACTCAAATTTCTTAGTTAGATTTAATATTTCTTTGTATGATCTTTTATGTGATCTTAATTTGCTAGTTTTGTTTTAAATATTATAGAAAATTTTCCTAATTATATGCTTAAATCTTTATTGTAATTTGAGAAATTTCCTATTTTAAATACCAAAATTCTAAATATACCATCTTAACCTTACAGGTAAAAAGAGAAAAATCAAAAGGGCCCATTCCATTGACCCCAAAAGTACAATTAAATGTTTACTTGCATTTGAAGACTTCTCAATCTGTGCATAGTCTTCCCTGCATCCCCATCCTGTGAAAAGGCCTGGGGTTTATTTTTTTGACAATACAAGTCTATATACAAAAGATAGATGATCAGCAGAAGTTTAAATGAACAAATTACATGCTTTCCAACTAAACATAAGGAATTATGAATACACCCAAATGATTACAGAACAACAAATGATGAATTCAAGGTCTATTCTTGTGTTTTTACCTTTTCTTTTGCCTAACACAATGAGGATGTGTAACCTTTCTTGTTTCCCCTCCTTTTTTAGGTATAAGTTTTCTTCTATAATTGGCCTCCGGTGGCTTCTCTTCGTCTACGTCTCCTACCTGATCGTCCTAAAAGAAGTCTGCCATGCTGGCGAAGGCGGCTAACCAAAGAAGTATCGCCGCCATCATCCTCGTCATCTTCTTGACCAGAGGAACCCGGATCCTCAACAGGAGAGGTGTAGCGAATATCGACAGCATCCTCATCTGCTGCTTGTGTGGGTTGCGTTGGTTGTCTAGCAAGGTCATTATTACCTGATGGCCCGAATGCATGCAGCAGAAGAAAGAAGTTTACGAGATTACTACTATCTAAGCCTACTTCAAAACTCGCATTCCTTTCTGCAGGATCTGCATCAAGACCATCCTCTTCATCTGTCTCAAAGCGACGATGATTTCCTTCTATAACATAATCCCCAAAAACCACTGCCCCTGGCATAGCTGACCTTATTGTGCTGATGACATCCTCTCTCTCACGCTCTCGTTCAAGCCTTCTCCATTTCTGTTCAAGAGAAGGGTCCACTTCGCGTGGCCTAGCACAAGGATGATCTGCTTTCATGTGTTTCCTTAGTTCCTTAAAAGTCCCAACAAAGGTGCAGTCATCCTGCATGCAGCTTCTCCGTTTGGCATTTAAATATTCCCTTGCAGGTTCCACCACGGTCCATCCTTTCACTTGACCCCTGCAAAGTGGACATGCAAGTTCTGTCATTTCACACTTCTCAACCCCTGGTGCTAGAACTGGATTGCCAATAGAACTATGCAAAGATTCTTCATGATTGGAAGGGACTACTTTAGTGTAGAACTTCTTGTACTGGTCAAGGCAGTTTGAGTATCGGAAGCTAGTTCCGCACATGTAGGGACGGCAGCCCTTGTCATGCGATGAACAGAGAAGAAGAACAGCATTGTGAGGACACTCTATGCAAACAGAACATGTTACATCTTCCCAATCTTTCTTATCCAAAAGTTTGGAAAATTTTTTGTGGTACAAATCCCCGGAGATCCCTTGACGATGTGAGGACAATGGGTATGGGGTTGGCCTGATTTGCCGAAAAGCAGTTCTACGCCGTCCTTTGCTTCCTTTTGCCATTTGCAAACTACACCTCAAAAAAATATTGCGCGATCAAAAAATCTCATGACAGTAGAAATAATCTTAAATCGACATATACTGGTAAAAACATATTTTTTTATTAAGAAGGGTAACAAATAACACCACCTCAAGGACCTCATTAAAAAACCTCCCTAATCCTAAATGGAGGAAAAAGAGTGTACCTTAAGGTGGTCATGATCAAATACACATAACACTATTACATGGTTCAAACCAAACCCCCGCCCTACCACAAGCCCCAATCCAACACATAACTAACACAGGCAAGCCGACAATATACATAGAGAACACACTGAGAACCATACACAAACAGCTAAGCCCAAGGTAAGAACCTAATGGCACTAATAAAACACCAGGACAAACCCCACATACTAAACTTGGATCAAACCATATAAAATAACTTAGCTTTTTGCCAAAAGTGGGAACACCACCCATGCCTCCCATGCTAGTACTACAGCCAAACAAAACCACCCATACTTCCACTAACTCTCCACTCCCTACTCCACTCTAACGCCCATACCATGCTCACCCTAAACCAATAAAAAATCCTTGAGGCATCGAAAGAGCTACCAATCACCCGACAACCACTTTAATTCCACCAAAAGGATCAACATGCGGGAATCTGCATGTCATAACACCAACTTCACGCCTCTTACTACGTGTAACATTGAAACTTCCTACATTAAAGACAACCTCGAAACCAACAACTGCAATGGAAACCACCTGCAACCCAGGAAACCTCTCATCACCGTCAACTGCTGTATTCACCGCTCCACCACCAGCCAAAGTGACATCCAATGAACACTCTTTCTTCTTCATGAACCACCGAAAGAGTTTTGAAGGAACAACCCTACCATTAATGATAACAGAACATTACTCCGGTACCACCGAAGCACACTGCACATCCAGAAGCAATCTGGCTTCATCAGAATTAACTCTATTACTTGTTTCTTTAAGGATTGAAAGAAACGACCCCCACAACGATCCAGAACAAACTGAACTGCTGAAGAGCACACGGAAAACTAAGACAGTGAACAACTGAATAACACATAGAAAACTGACATAGTGACCTGCTGAAGAACACAACCCAAACCATAGAACACTAAGTAAGAGTTTGCCTTGAAGGAGCAGAAATTATCGAACCAAGAAGCTGATTCCCCCAAAAGAAGTTGAGAAAAGATCCATCACCCAGAATAAAACCTATATCTTGGTTTTGTACTTTGATCACGTCTTCCCCAACTCTAGTAAAACGCACGTCTTTGAGCCTTTTTTGGATCTGCGCTTCTCCTTGCTTTGTTGGATTGATGAAAATATGACATGCTTTGAAGAGCATGGAACGGACATGCGATGAAAATAAAAGAGTGGGAACAAAGATGGCGAAGGAGAAGATAACCAAACAAAGGAACACTATCTAAGCTGTTTTGTTGTGGCTTAGCCTAGTTGAAAGGAGGGAGTCAGGCCATGATGATTTAGCCCAAAAAACCGTAGTTTCTGTTATGGTTTAGAAAAAAGCCCTCTGTGTGTCATTTCAGTTGTTTTATTTTCACATCGGGCTATTCTGTTTGAAGATATCCAAGATAGTTGTGAAACAGATCATGCGTGTTCACAGTAATCTCTTCCTCTCTCTCTTATAAACTCACTACCAGCAATGACCTAAAAGAACAGTGAGATACTATGATTATTGAGGCAACAGACACCCAGAGTTCTCTTTCTCGCATAAAAACACAGACAGGCACATTTCTTTCTTGTTCTCTCTTTTTTGTACCCAAACCACACAATGTTTATCAAAACTAAAGGAGGAATTGGGATAAGAGGAGACTTAACATTCCCAAACTTGATAGAACAGGCTATCTAAAGATACATCGAAGGTGGCATGCAACCTTGATCAATATAAAAACTCTGAATTACTTGCAAGTAACCTTTTGGCTGCTAAATTGAGCACAGAAACTGATAATTAACAGACAACAAACGATATCCAGCTGTTAACACTAAGTACCTCGTGTCGCACGACAGAAAGAATATACAATAGTAACCCCATTCTAATCTCGAAATGCCAAGTACGAGCGAACTTTGACAAATCTATAAAAAAAATTAGCTACATTATACCCCAATCCCCCTTATTTATTACACTGAATGCAATAGATGTTTGTAAATGAGACACAAATTTCTAACATTGAAGGAACTAAATCATGGCGACTATGACGGCTGTAAACCAATATTTCCAAACCACAAGCTATTCTCACACCATCAGGAAACAAAACCTCCCTGCGCCTAGCCAATTACTCTGACCAAATCTATCAAAAAGTACTTTAGCTACATTATTATACCCTAAGCCACCTCTTTATTACACTGATACGCCCTTTTCTAATAATGAAATGTTTGTAATTGAGCTTTCTAACATTTAACAAACAAAACCGAAGCTAGGGAGGACTGTAAATTCTCGTTTCCAAACCACAAGATATTCTCACACCATCGGGGAACAAGACCTCCCTGTGCTCACTATGCTTGAAAATTGCTAAAGAGCAATCCACCAATGACTTGATATTAAAGTTAAAGATTAAAGCAAAGTCTAAAAATGCGAAAATTCAAGATCCATAAACCGTAGGCATAACAAAAACCCAGCATGCACCTTATCCTTGATAAAATTCACATCCCACGTTCTCATCATACAAGTGAATTAAATCATCTACCATAAAAAATTAACAAATCAATCAAATCAGCAACAGAAAAGAAATCCCTTGATATAATTGACATCTATGTTCCTTCATCCACGTGAATTAGATCATCCTTCATTGAATTTCGAAAAATGAACGACCCTAATCAATGTCCAACCCAAATACGACGGGAAAATTCATAATTCAGAAGGATGGATTTCAAGGAATCTCACCTGTTTTCGCGCCGCGGGGTGGGGGTGGGGGACTGTGCAAATCTAGATCGAGATGACGGGTTAGTTGAAGATACAAAGTCTCATCTGATAACAGAACACCCAGAGTTAATATATTTCTTTATATAGATAGATAAACTTAAATGAATCGAAACAACGTGCTTTAGCAATAGATTCACACGATAATACAGTTAATTATCTGATTAAATAATCAGAGGAGAACATGAAACTACAATTTATCCACATGGGGCTTTTAGACTTGATCCATCTAAGATCTGCAATTACCGAATTCAATATTTAATTTAAAAATTAAAAGACTAAAAAAGGAGGAACTTGGAAGTATTTAAGATTAAAATAATTTTATTTAAAAAGTAGGAAAAATCCAAAACAAATCTTCAAAACTTTAAAAGTAAAAATGAAGCTTCCTACATTATTTTCTTCTCCGGTGAAGCTAATTAAAAGCTCGAAAATACGACGGGAAAAGCAAAGATAAAGCGGCGGACGTACCGGGGAAATGGATTTGAGGAATTTGAAATAAAATTAGGGTCAGAAACAGAGAGCGATATGAGTTTAAGGATTTTTTTTAGCAACGAAACCAGAAGAATTAGCGACGAAATCGATGGAATGAAATGAAAGAGGGAGCGATAAGCGCCAAAGGAAGATTTTTCAGAGAAAAGGAAAAGAGTAGCGTGGAAATGACTCGAGGAATCCGAATTCGGGCCGGGTCAATGGGCATTTTACACGTGTTGTTAAGAGGCGGTAGAATCCACGCTCCAATTCGTTTTTTCCCCCAAAAAAATAGATTTGCGGGATTAGGTTTAGGCGCTTGGATGGTCTGTAGATCACGCTTTCGCGGGATTTCGGTGCGGTTTACGCGAATCATGCGGAGGTTGTTGAAAGACGCGCCGTTTATTGGTGGCTCGGTGGGTTGGAGTGTATATGACGTCAGCCTCGTTGGCGATTCACGCGCTACCATGAAAAAAGGGATTGTTAACGGTTTACGTGCCTATAACAGTTGAGTAAAGGGGCGGCTTTATGCTGCGCTGTCTGTCGTGGCTGCTTTTCTTTATTTGAAAGGGCAAATTATACTCTTCCCCTAATAAATTTTACTTTCTTATTTTACTAATCGTATTTTTAATATTTTTACTTTACATATTAAATTATCTTATTTACTCTATCGTTAACTTTTAACGGTATTATGACATAACACAAGCATCAAAATAACATCATTTTGAAGAAAAAAAATATATATCAAAACAATGTCAGTTCGAATTATCTTCTTTTTCCCATTATCTCTCTATTTTACAAATAAGGTGACTGGTTGTCATCGCCTAACCACCACTTCATTTTTCATTTCGACCACCGTCTATTGTTGTTGAGAGTGGTTGTTTGGTCTCAAAATTCATGGGTTGGTTCGTCTTGACCCACTGAGTCCGAATTTAGTGGTTGTCTCACCAAAAAATATCCCAAAATCCGTGAATCTTGATTTAAACGTTTCGACTTCATCGCTTTTAATCTCCAATTTGTGGATTTCAGAGCAAGTTTCGATAAAATAAAATTGGGACCCATGAAATATGGAGGTCGGATTCAGACTTAAGGTGTCGAGGCGAAACGACCCATGAAATTTGGAACCGAACGACCACCGTCTACTGTGGTCGACGTAGAGTAAAATAAGAGAGGGAGTAAAATTCAATGAGGAACGATGTAAATTAGCTGACCCTTATTCCCATATGTAATGGGATAAGTGGGAGGTAAGATAGTAGGCTGCCTCAACACCGGTTGAGAGCAGCTTCCGTGGGATACCTCCAAATTATGAAATATCTTCCGTGTGACTCGATCCCACGACCTCAAGGTTAAGAACCTTGTGTTCTACCAACTGAGCTGGATGGTCCCTAAACTATACTTCGATTCTGATATTCGTCCTTAAATTTTCTAGTTTGTATTATCTCTAAACAAACAATTTGATACTAGCTTATCCAATTAAAACATAAAAGCCAATAAGAACGTAATGCGTAGCATGTCTTTACTGGATTTCACTCGCTTTCGAGTAAAATTAGATAAAGAAGATAGATATTACCAAGATGAAAATGGATTATTGTTTATTACTTTGATGATAAATTACTTTATCAACGCTTCGACCAAAAATGGACCAAATTTTAACAAAATGTCCATTTTACAATAGGGATCAAAATGCAATAGAACGTAATGTATAGGAACTGTTATGTTAGTTTTACCCATATCTAATGCAAGTTTGTCACAATTTGGGGTATAATGGAATGATAGGCGAATTATGCTGATAAAACTACTAATCTAAGTTGGCAAACGTACAGGTTTTAAAGCCGGCGGTTTGTATAGGGGAATGTGAAATTTTCAGGAAATATATTCTCCTGTTTGGTTTGGTCGGAAATGTCATTCACGGTAATATTTTATTATCAATAGTTAATTTTTTTGAGTATATTATCGGGAATAAAATTATCTCCATTCCTTTAGGTATTATAATATTACCGTCGTTTTGGATTAAAATGCCTTTAAATTTTTTTCTCAAAAATATCATTCTTCTGTCATTGAATAATATAAATTCTACGAATGTTAAATTACAAATTTATTCTTAAATTATTTTAGATTTACAAAAAAACCTAATTAAAATTTTATATAAAGTTTAGGGGTTAAAATAAAATTTTACCATTTCATTAAACCTTTTTTATATTTTTAATTTTGTAAAAAAATATATAAATTTTATGAAATTCAAATTTTTTAAAGAAAATATATAAATATTTTTCAACTTGTAATATTATACAAATATATATAATAAGGATAATTTAGTCAAATATACATTCTAATAATCTTTTATTCTTTTAACCATACACGGTAATCTTATATTCTTGCTAAACCAACCAAACACAAAATACAATATTCTCTGCAATCTTATTCCCTAATAATCTTTTATTCCTACTGATAATCTTACATTTCGTGAGTCAAACTTACATTTCGTGAGTCAAACTTACATTTCGTGAGTCAAACGCACCCAAAGATAATACTTAAATATGGCGATATGCAGGAATCCGAATTCGAAGTGTCACTTTTAAAACAAATTCTCCGATTATAATATATACACGTGATTGAAAGTAAAATATATACACGTGAATTGTTACCATCATCTAATCAACTTATTAACGAAAAATTATGGATAATCAACTAATTTTCGTCTCATCCATACGCCTAACGTTACAAATATTACCCATTTAAGTGTCTGGGCTAGTAACGTTCCGTTAAATGACGTGTCATAACATGGTAATTTTAAAATTTTTATTTAAAATTAAATATATATATATATATATATATATTAAGAAACATAAAACAAAAATTTTGAAATAAACCCAAAACTTTGAAAACCTTCATTTCAACCCCTAAACCCACGTTGGTCGCCACCTTTTATCATCGACGAGCCTCCACCCGACCTCCCCTCCCCCCGCCGACCAAAAGTCCCATGAAATCGTGGTTGATCGACGGTCAATCGACGACGAATCAGCGTTTTAAACCGCTCGAATCCTAGGATTAAAATCACGATCCCACGTGATTTCGACGGTCAATTGAAGGAAAATATGATAACATATGAGTAGGAGGATGGTATGGAATACGTCGGTGGCGGTGGTCGTGGCTGGAAAGGCGGCGACGATGGATTAAGGTTTGGATTTGAGATTTTAGGGCTATTTTATAATATAAGAAAAGTTAGTGTTTTTTATATAAATATCATAATATTTTTAATATTTAAAAATATAAATTTCAAAATCACCAGAGTGTGCCACGTGTTACTTAATGACAGAAATTAACTCATTTGATGGTCCGGACACCTAAATGGGTAATAGTTGTAACATTAGATACCTGGATGAGATGAAAATTAGTTTAGGCACCTATTTGGGTTTTAGGATATAATTTAGGCACTTGTTTTGGTTCTAAGCCTAATATAAATGAAAACTTGAATTTAGAAATAAAAATAATAAAAATGTATTTGATATCTATTTTTTAAAAAAATAAATGAATAAATAATTATTAAACAATTAATTTAAACTATAATCATTAAAGAAAATTCATTACATTAATTTAACATGTTAGTTATGCAAATATAAAACAATAAAGTTGATAAAAAATTTCATAACACAAAAATTATTTTAGTTTATAATAAAAATATAATATTAATTCATATTGGACATCAATTAAATTTTAAAAAATACACAAAAAAATATTGTTGTAATTAAAAGAACACAAAAGTGTTATTAAAATGAAAAATATATTTAGTGGTAATTGAAGCCCTCAAACTATTGGAGAAAAAACTAATTTAGTCCCTAAACATTACTTTTAAACTAAGTAAAAATTAATCTAATAATTTGACCAATCTCGACGCCGCTTACATGGCAGTTCGCGAAGCTTACATGGCAATCTATAATATAGATGTAACAATTCACAATTTTGTTGTGACAATACACATTGTATGATAATGTGGTAGATATGCTTAATTGGACATAATTTATTTTTTAGAAAATTTGAAGAATTATTTAATTTATTTAAAAAATAAAAAAATCAATTTAAAATATATAATATATTCAATATATTAAATATAAAAATGTGACAAAATCAAATTATTAAAAAAATCACTTTAATATTAAATTAAGTATAAAAAAAGGTTCAAGGACCACATTTTTTTTTGCAAAATTTTAAGAGTTTAAGATACCATTAAATCAAAAAAATAATAATATTAGAAGGATTTGAACTCGTGTAAGTTAAGTTAAAAATTTAGATATCATATGTTCCTATTTTTCAAATTTTCAAAATAATTTTAATGAAAATACTGAAAACATATTTTTTTGTTTTCATATTTCCACTTATTTTTGTTTTAATTTTCTAATTTTACAACCAAACACGTTTTCTATTTTCTAAGAAAATGAAAAAAACAAATATTTCTAGAACCAAACAGACACTAATTTTTTAATAAAAACTTTAAAACTTTAAATATCATTAAACCAAGAAAAATATTAAGAGGATATTATTTAAAACTCTTATTATTATATGAATAAAGCGATTTCAGTGATTAAAGAATTTGTTGTTATCCTTTGAGGGTTCGGGTTCAAACATTTTGTATACAATAATATGAACGTTCATTGTCAAATGGTTGAGATTATTATAAAAAATGTCTTATTATCACGTTTTTTTTATTAAGCTAAGGTGACTACCAAGTAGTATCTGTTCTAAATAGTCTTGAACCATTTGACAATGAACGCTCAGTCATTCTGCTGCAGCCGCTGGTGTTCGAACCCGTGACCTCTAGAAAAGACAATTATTTCTTTAATCACTAAATTAAGTTGGTTCGTGTCTTAGTATCACGTTAATATATAAAAAGGTTTGTTATTATAAAAAAATATTAAGCATATGCTCAGGGTCGGCTCTGAGTAGGGGCAGAAGGGGCGCCCGCCCAGGACCCATAAAATTTTATAATTTTTATACTATATATTTTTTAAGCATAGGACCCATAAAAGTTTTATAATTTTTATACTACATATTTTTTAAGCATAGACACATCAACATCGCCATTTGAAAGAGGAACGGAACCCTGGGTCGGGGCAAAATGGTTGCTATTATTTGTTTATTTTAATAAAAAAATATCAATTTTATACTATATATTTTTTATAATTTTTTAAAATTAGGGTCTCATTTCTTTTATTTTACCCCCGGGCCAAAAAATACCCAGGGCCGACCCTGCATATGCTAAGCAGCACGAGGCTGTGCTTGAAAAATATTGAGGGCGAAATATGAAGGCAGACGATGGGGACGAGTCATGTGCGGAACGTGCAGCATCATGCAACCCATGCAGATAGCAATAGGTAGCCCCTCTTCTATCACCCCTGAAAATGACTGCCAAACATTTTTCACATGATCAATCTATTTTGATAAATAACTTATAATATTACATTATATTACACTACTGACTTGGGTAACATAAATATTTTATATTTAAAATTACATTTATGAAAAATATTTACTAAATAAATATAAATAGACACGTAATTTTAGTACCTAAACTATCAGTTTCAATTCATTTTAGTACATAGACTTTCAATTATTGGAAATTATACCTAAAGTTTAGATTTTTGTTTCATTTCAGTATATCTGTTCAAAATTTAAGATTAAGTTTTGAAAAAAAATCGAAAGTTTAGGTACTAAAACGGATAAAATCGAAAGTTTAGGTATTAAAACGGATAAAATCTGATAGTTTAGGTACTAAACGCGTTAGGTTTTTAAGGGCGGGAACTAACATGAAATAAAAATAAAAAAATTAAGTATGATTTTGAAAAAAATAGAAAGTTTAATTACAAAAACAGATCAAAATTAATAACTTAGATACTAAATACATAGTTTATCCAAAATTATATTATAGGACTGATATAAAACTAAAAAAATATTAGTAAGTTAATTTTTATTTTAGTTTTTTTAGTTTTGAAGGGGCTAAAACTAAAGAATTCAATTTATTTAAAGATTAAAAAGGATTAGATTGAATTTTTAAAGTTTAAAATAAGACTAAAACTGCAATTGTTCCATTTAATCAGTTTACAATTAGATAAATGCTTAATCTTTTAGGTGCTTAAACTATACCATAAATTAATTTTTAGTGTTTAAATTTTTTTTCGCTAAAAGTGTCTAATTTTTTTATGTTATATTTTTAGGTGCATATTGTTAAAAAATATTAAACGACATATGTCATATATATTTTTTAAATAAAATATTATTTAAAAAAATATATTTTTAAAATATCTAAACGTGATATATGTTTTTTAACTATAAAAATTTAAAAATATAACAAAAAAATATATTAAATACCTATTTTTAACTAAAACTGTCTAAACACTTAAAATTAATTTAAAATACAATTTTTGCACCTAAAAATGTATTATCCCTCGGATAAAAAGCGGGTAATGCAGCAAGCAATTGCCAACTCCCAGCATGAAAGAAAGCCCGCGCATTTATCTGTCTTGTCCGTTGATGAAGGTTCCCGAATCCTGACTCAGTGGGGACTCAGCCTTCTATTCTCTTCTTTTAACCTCTTCCTATCTCCCACAACGCGCGTGCGCCTCACATCCTCTCCCTTCCTCCATTTTTAACGGTTCTTACTTCCTTTTTTTCTCCGCAGGGACCTCCACTTCTTTTGCGCTCTTCAGACTCCATTTGGTAAGCAAGAATCCCCACCTTTTTCAATGTGTTATTCCATGGGAGTTTCAAAGAGGAAGAGTAGTTTCACATGATGGGTTCTTGTTCTTAATGGAGCCGTAATTACATTTTCTTTTCTGGGGTTGAAATATTTGTTTGTTTCGTTCATGAAGTGTTCGTATAAATGCATGCATGTGTTATGTCGTCTTGAGTTATTCGGAAGAAGAAAAGGGGTTATTTTTTCTTCACTGTTTAGCTGAATAACTTGTTTTTGTTGCAAGATATTGGTTTTACTCGTTTACAGTTGTGTTTATTAGTCTCCCATAGTTAACCTTGCTGCTGGTTTTTGCTCATGAATTCTTGATCAGCTATTGAAAGATATTATTGAGGGTTTTTAGATTTAATTCTTGCTAAGAAGAAAGATTCAAAGGTTGTACACTATGTGTAAATCAAAAGTAGGTAGCTTAATCATCATATAGAGAATTATTCAGTTCAAAGAATCCGAGTGTACGAGTTTTTTTAAATAATCTTAGATGATTACAAGTATTTGTTCAAAATTTTTCTTAGCCTATTGACAACGTGAACACATCCTACCCAGCTGCTCGAATCAGGTCCTCTAGGGAGAACAACATTCCATTTTACAACCAAGGTCACTCCATGAGTTCGAGTGTATAAGGTTAGGTGCACTGAATGCAGAGATATCCCATGTTGGCCCTCATATTATATATGGTTGTTGGAACGTTTTATTGTAGTAATTAAAGCACACGGATCGTTTTTGTTTAATTCCTCAAAGATTGGGCATATAGATGATATTCATTGTTTACCTACTGATAACTAAGCTTCTTTTGCCTGCATTTTTTTGGATTGTGAATTAGGCTTTGAATTGTTTCTTGAAATAAGAAAATTCACCAATCTTTTCATTCAATACTGTGATCTAGGAATAGGTTTCATATAAACAGAAGTTTCAGGAAAATTTGTTGGGAAACTCATCATGGCAGACGCTACTGGCCCATTCCCGAGTGTATATAAAGTTTCTGGTCCCCGAGTTAATCAACTAAATCAGAAAGCGGCAGACTTAGCTTCTGCAAAGGATGGTGACAAGGGGAACACAAGGGAGTCCAAAAACAGAGTTGCTGTGAATTCTGGGTTTCATCAGGATTCTACATCTAATGCATGGGGACATCCAAATGTGATTCAGAAACTTAGGATGCAAAGTAATAGTGGTTCCCAGAAGGGTACTGCCAATGCTGGGTCAACTCAGAGTGCTTCTTCTTTGAGTTCCTGCAGACTTGGTAGTGCATTGACCCGACTAGGTGAAGGAGCCTGTCCAGCTCAAGCTGATTTCACTTTGTCTGATAGTTCACTGGATAGTCGAGTTAAAACAGAGCACCAAGTTGGTGAAAATTTGGATTATGATAATGTAGTTAATGAATATGACAATAATGATCCTGATGTTGTGTACGATAGCGATGATTTTGATGACTATGGTTTTGGTTCGGATGAAGATGAGAACAGTCATGAAGCTCGTAAGAAGAGCAAGTGGTTTAATTCATTTTTCCAAAGATTAGAGAAACTAACTGTTGAGGAGATTATTTCACCGGTTCAGCAGTGGCACTGCCCTGCGTGTCAAGTTGGACCAGGAGCCATTGACTGGTATCGAGGTGTGCAGCCCCTACTGACTCATTCCATGACCAAAACAACGCGGAGAGTTAAGATGCATCGAGTATTTGCAGAACTTTTGGTTGAGGAGATGCGCAAGAGAGGAACTTTCATTAAACCAGATAAAGATGCCTTTGGCCGGTGGGAAGGGCTTAATGATAGAGTAGCAGATCATGAAATAGTTTGGCCACCAATGGTTATCATTATGAATACAAAATACGAACAAGATGAAAACGGAATGGTACTTTACTGCATATTTTCTGTTAGAAAAAATAATGCCAAAGAAAATCCTACGTAGTATATTTTTACCTTTCTTTAGTAAAACACCTATTTTATTAATATACTGCTGATTGCTTAGTACTTACTGTTATTTCATCAGTGGACTGGAATGGGAAATCAAGAGCTTCTCAATTACTTCAGCTCATATGCTGCAGTAAAAGCGAGACACTCTTATGGTCCACAAGGGCACCGTGGGATGAGTGTTTTGATCTTTGAGAGCTCAGCAGCTGGGTATTTAGAGGCTGCACGCTTGCATAAGCATTTCAAAGAGCAAGGGAGGGATAGAGATGCTTGGGATAGCTCACGGGTTCCATTCTGTCCTGGTGGGAAGCGCCAACTCTACGGCTACATTGCCATAAAAGAAGACATGGATGTATTTAACCGACACTCTCAAGGTCTAATCGCTCTTTCTCTCCCTCCCTCTTATCCCACGTAATGTTGTGTCAATTTATGTACATGAGTGGAAGCATGTAGAAATGTTCATAAGACGGTAAATGTGGCTTGTGAGGACAACAGGGTGAATAAATAAGCTCCAATATAAGGTTTATTGAGAAGCAAAATGGCAAAGGAACAAATTATTAAACTGAAACTTTGACTACTTATGATTGCTTTGCAAATATTACTTTTGTTAATTCATTGTTTTCAAACTCTTAGAGGCGTGCCACAATTGGAAGAGATGATTTATAATTCCTTTTTTTTTTACTTTTCTCTTCATCTTCATTCGAAAAATTTTATGACTTTGATAGCCGTAACCTCACTTGAGCAATGATTAAAGAGTTATTTCTAAGATTATGCTTTTAATTTTTGGATGATCAACTGATATGATGCTTCTTTAATTCACAATAAAATTTAAATCTTTTGCATGAGTGCTGGTGGAAGGTGAATAATTTCCTCTTTAGCGGCAATATAACTTTCTCATGTACGATACCCTATATGATCAAGCAGGAAAGTCGAAGCTGAAATTTGCGATGAGATCGTACCAAGAGATGGTTGAGAGCCAGATAAAGAAGATAAATGACGATAGTCAGCAGCTCACCCGGCTTAAAAAGAAGGTTGCTCAAGAACAGCAGCAGTCACAAGTCCTTGCAGAGTCTCTAGGTCGACTGAGTTCCGAGCTCCACCAGACAACAAAGGAAAGCTGTACCATGATGCAGAAAAGTAGATTTCAGCATGAGCAGAACAAAAAGAAGGTAGCATTTTTTAACTTTATCTTCCCCTACTTCTATTTCCAATCAAGGCTACGCAAGTTAGAAAATAGATGCTGGGACCCCATTTTCTGCGTTTAACTAGAACAAATTGATCATCACACGCGGTGGATGGTATTGCAAATTGATGATCATAGCTGATTACTCTTCTTGTAGCTCGCTGGTATACTTGACATTGAGTTTTTTTGAGTTGTTGCAATGCAATGATTTTCTAGTTGGCTGCTAAAGAAAAATACATTAAGGAGAAAATCAACAACATATACCAATCCATAGACACCAAGGAAGATAACTTCGAGAATGTACAGAGGGCAGCGATGGAGAAACTTGAGCGGTCAAATACAAATTCGACAAATAATGAAGATGAGTTCAGGTAACAGATATCTCTACTTTATACTGTAATGAGGGTTTTTTCTTTAGAAGTCATATACATTCTTATTTACCTTGAGAAGGTAATGTCAATCCTTGTTTATGCTGATCTGCTGCCTAACAAGCCGCTTGCATTTGTATCTTATGTAGTCGAAAGTGAAACTTGTTGATTTTGAACTATAGCAGTAAGCTGACAGGGTTTTTTTAACATTTCTCGAACATTCAGAGCTATAGGGACGGATGAAAATGCGAGTTCCATAACAATTCAAGAGAAAAAGATGAAGGAATTCGAAGTAGAGAGGGAGAAGCTGATGAAAAGTCGTCAAGACAGAAGGCTGGCCATCACACAGCGGTATTGGGAGGAGCTGGTGGAGCTAGAGAAAGGGTTCGAAAACGAATTGACACTGCTCATGGAGAAGTACACCCCAGATTGCCTAGAAGTAGAGACCACTAAATACAATCTTGAATAACAAGACGACAGAAACAAGAGATGAGGGAATGTAAGACACAAAAACACCACCATTGACAAAGTGAAAGAAACAAAACAATCTTGTCTCATAGGTAAAGCATAAACCAGTTTTGTTTTATTTGGTCCGATTCCGTGTCCGGTAATCACTAGGGGTTGTTAATGAGTTAAACAGCTCGTGAGCAGTTCGAACTCGACTCTGTCAAAGCTCATTAAAAACTAGACTCTGATTGACTCGACTCGAGACCTTAATGAGTTGAGTCGAGCAAATTCCAACTCGACTCAATAAGTTCGCGAACAGTTCGTTAATTTTTTAATATATTTTTTTGTAGTTATCTACAAAAATTATTTCATGCACTCAAAAAATTAAACTTTATTTATTATTTTAATATATCTTTGGATTGTTATTTTGAAGATTAGACTTTAAAATTATTTCATACACACTTATGATAAATTATTTTTGTTAAATTTATTAATTTATGTTTATATTAAGTTCTATATAGTATTAATAGATTTTACAGGGAAACGTTTTGGTGAGCTTAACGAACAACGAGGCTAGCAATGAGCATCAAGCTTAACGAGTAACGAGCTTAATGAGCAACAAGTTTAACAAGCAATGAGTCGAGCAACAAGTTTTCTTAACGAGCATGAGTCGAGCAAAAAAAGTTTTTAACGAGCACGAGTCGAGCATTACCCAACTCGTGATCGACTTGTTCGATAAACATCTCTAGTAATCACGTGAGTTTCGAATATATTCATAGTCAAGTCGGGTCACACTTCGAAACGGGAGGCAAAGCTCACCCAACGTTGTTCTCACTATGAAAACACTTCAATAAGTTAATGGTGATGTCAAAAGAGAATATTTTGTGATGTCAAAATCCTAAAAATTAAGGTGAATATTGATTTTCTAGGGATGCGACAGTATGACTGATTTATTTACTTACCTAAACAAGCTATTCGCCAGTTCAGTGCCATATTTTCTGGGGTAAAATTAATTTGCCTCAAAATCAGTGTCTTCTTTCCCCAAATGGAGGGCCCCAGAGTTCACTGTTTACTCTATAAATTTCACATGCATAGTAGAAAAAAAAAGTAACTCGTAGAAGTAACGAAAATGGCAACAACAATCCTCCCAGCAGCAATATTGGCCATCATCATATTGCTTCAGTTTCAGGCCATAGATTCGAGTCCAGTCACTTATCATGTTGGCGATGAATTTGGCTGGGACCTGGTCATCGACATGCAAAGCTGGGCTCGAGGAAAAAAATTTCATGCCGGCGATTTTCTCGGTAATATAGTTTAGATGTTTTCTTTGTAATATTTATATTGTGATTGTTGTTGTTGTTGCTGTAGTTTTTTTAATACGATGATTGTTGCTGTTGGTGTAGTTTTTGAATACGATGATCAGAGGTACGATGTGGCGTTGGTGAATGAAGAAGGGTTCAATACTTGCACCGTTAACGACGGGGCTAAAGTGTTGGATTCGGGGAGCGATAAAGTCCAACTGGCCTTCGGAGCTAATTATTTCATCGATAGCGTTGCTGATGTATGTGCCGGCGGTATGAAGATGGCCATCAACGCCACTGCACCGCCACCCTTGTTTTAGAAACCCTAAACATACATGCATGCATGCAGTTTTACTTTGTTTCCTCGGGCATTAACATCTGCAGGAATTTAGATTTGTTTCAATAATAGAAAATCAATAACTTCGATTCGAAATAATTGAAAAAAATAACTCGAACCTAAAGTGATTCCTAAAATAATTTGGACATATAATGACTTGACTCAAACATGCGCGACCTCGTTCCAAATAAAACCTCAAACATGCATGTGATAAATCAACTTGAATCTGAAATTGTCTTACTATTTAATTGATGAGCCAAATCTTCGATAAGGGGTTCTTCTTATAATCCGAGTTTGGTGGAAGAAGGAAGAAGGATCTAGCCAACTTTGTACTCAATATTAGGGGTGTTTAAATCTGGTACCCGCATTTCGGGTATCCTAAATTACATGAACTGATATGTTGATCAAGAGCCTTCAACGTACTTGAAACGTGCACCCAGAATTAAACTGCTTCATAGTGGACTCAAATTCCACCTTGCCTTCGATAAATCTTAAGCTCAACATTCCATGATTACCAAATGCTTTCAACATCATGTGAGATCAGATTAATTGAGTACCGAACTTACGATCCACTGCTGCAAGACACCAAGCTTTGGGGAATTCTGGTCTCGACATCCCGATAACTAACAACCATTCTGCTATTGACCTTATCCACCACCGCACTTGAAGAAACCGAGCAAAATCAACAACAGTGTTTTAGCCACGGCTGAATCTAGATGAAACCACACAACACACCAGAACACAAAATTGCATAGCACATAAACAAATGATCTCTAACCCATCAAACCAACAAGACTAATTAACCAAAGCCACTTCCAACCTTTGCTGCTATTATAGCAATGCCAATTGGAATTCTGCTCCTGCGAAGCAATATACATCACCTTGTAGTACCAAGCGTCAATATCTTTAACCACTGGACTTCGACAACTTAAAACTGCCCTTATAACTACCGCTTGAAAGGAATTTTATGAAAATCAAAGAAACACGACAAAGCTCATTAATCATCATCTAAGGATCAATAAATTTTCAATTCCTAAATGCAAACCCCACGGTAAAGGAAACTCAACCATCTCAAAATCATCAGCTATGTATAATCCATATGGATCTTCTAAATGACAATACAAACAACCTCATGCAATCTTGATACTTTTTAAAATGCCTTAAAACCCACAACAGGTAGCTACACCATGGAGCTGTAACCGGAATTTGAACCTAAGTAACCAAAACTTCCGACTGAACTTGTTGAAACGAAGACAAATACGATAACATGCCAACTCCTCCTCGTGGCTTCTTCACTCATCGATTCCAAATACTCTTCTTGAAAAACATAATAGGACAACCTGAGGGAAAAAAGGAACTACTTTTCACAGTGCCGAATCCTTCACGAGACAAAACGATTAACTTTACTGAGCTGCTATCCACACCCTTCATGCAACTATCACCGGTCAGACCAACTTCAATTCATTTCTAGTAATGCTAATTTATTCACCACCTGTAGCTCATCTCCTATTATTTGGATTCTTAAACTTTTTCCCAAAGCCAAAGTTTTCTCAGCTTCTTTCTTTGCTGCAAACCATCGTCAATATCCTCTAAACCCTAGCCGCTCTCTCCTTTGTTTTCCTTTTTTTTCCTTTGAGTTTGTATCGTTTTTCATAGATCAAATCAACTTTTTCTTCTTCGGTTTTTTTAGCAGACGGCAACATCGATTTTAATGTTGATTGTCGACTGTCGATTCTCTTTTTCTTTATTTTTTCTTTATTTTTTAATAAGAATAATTATGTATGTGTTGCAAGTTTATTTTGCTTTTGTGGCACATTTTTCAGTTTTTTCTAAGTCATTTGTCCGTTTTTTACTTATTTGAAATCTTGTTGATCTTCCATACTATGGACTTTTGGATTGAATTTGGATGCATGATTTTACATTTGTGGATAATTTCTCACGACGCTCGGCTCTGATTTGCAGTTATCGGTGGTCTTTCAATAGTTTAATTATATTTTGTGATTCGTTTGTCGATACAATCAGATTTGTTCCTATATATTTTTGTTCAAGTATTTTTGTTGGATTTTTAACCTTTTGCATGTATGGTCTTTATATGATCTAAAATGACTAGTTTTAATGTTATAAGAAAAATACAAATTATATATTTAGTTTACTATGATAATTATAAATTCTTATTATAAATTTGAATATTTTCACTTTTTTAATAATACAAGCTGATTATATTAAGAAAACAATTTTACTCTTAATCCTATCGACACAAACAATTTCATTCACTACTACTCAATAGGGTGGCTATGCTTACATCGAGGCACAATGGTCTGGGATCATGACAAAGTATTAAGTAGGGATGTTCATAGTTCGGTTAAAATCGAATTAATCGGTTGAATAGAAATTTCTGTCGGTTAATTAGTCGATCGATTAACGGTTAATATTTTTTTTAAACTTCATTTTTGGTTAATTTGGTTAGAAATCTATTAATTAACCGAAATTATTAAATATTTAATATTATATATATATTATTTAGCTTTAGGGGTGTTTAAACTTCGTTTTCTTTTATCGAATTAACTTAATAAATAAAAAATATTTAATATATAATATATCATTTATAAATTTCAGTTAATTCGATTAACCAATCACTTAACAAAACTTAATTCAGTTCGGTTAACGGTTAAAAAATCGATTAATGAAATTTAGATAATTCGGTTCAAACGGTAAACCAGATTAACCGTTCGGACACCCCTACTTATACTCTCCTCTTTGCTCCATAATAACCTACCACATGATAAACATTTCCCACTTTTTATGATTGGGCAAAGTAAAGTTGTCTTTCTGCCTGGCATCAAATTTGCAAATTTCCATTAAAATAAAACACCAAAAGTTACATCAGACAAATCAGTCAGATGTAAACATTTATGCAAAACAAAAATTGATTTTGATTAGCAGAACCGGCAAATGCTTCCCAAAGCTTGAAGCTATAAAAACACTCATCCTCCTAGTCTCAAGCTACAACAACAAACTAAACAAGAGGAAGATACACATAATATCAGGGACCTAAAGCCATATTTACACAACATCAAGGGGGTCTAAATCAATTAGTCCTTTCATCACCGTGACTAGAAATGCAAGATGTTGGCATAAGTTGTGAGATTCTGAAACAAGGGGCTGTTGAACTGAGCCCAGAACTGATCCTGCGTCCAGTCACTGAGCATTTTGGGCAGTTGAAGCTCTGGTAATCTCTCACTACCCAATGGAAATTGCAGAGATGCGGCAGAAGATGGTTTCTTCTCTGCTGCTCTCTCTTCTTCCATTTCTTTCTTGAAGAACACTTGGGGTACAATTGATGGCAATAAACCATCCTTTGGTCTGCAGAAAGAAATTGTTTCCATTGAAGACGACGATGGAGATGTGTTGCTGTTCTTCGTTGATTTCATCTCTTCCTCCATTGCTGCTCTTTGTTCCAGAACTTTCAAGGAAGTTGCCTTCCTGTATACTTTGCACAAAACTACATCCTGGATAGTAAAAAAATGTATTTAAACTTATAAATTGGGAAATTTATTTTATATGTACAATAATGTATAATTTTAAATTTGGTCCCCTCGCTTTAATACTGAAATTTTCTTATTCTTTTGTACTCTTGTCTCCTTAATTAAGATTAATTATATTTGTAATATGAAATTTTTTGAATGTTGATTAAAATTTTCTCATTCTTAATGTTAATATTAATTATGTTTATATAACTATTTTAGAAGTTTTGGGGTTTTTTTCTTCAAATTTTGACCCTAAAATCAAAGTTTTTCAAACTTGATCACTAGTGCACATTAAGAAAGATTGTGATGGATTTTATTTAAAAAATAATATTGAAGTCAAAAGTCAAGTCTTTTTAGTTTGGCAATGTGTTTTGTAGGTATAATTACGCCTCATGTCCCTATAATTTATGGGCTTTTGAAATTTATTATACCTTTGGCAAGGAGCAACCGTCCGGGAGACGATACTCGTTCATCACCCAATCGGTCTTGTTTCCTCGTGGAGCTCTCCCTTTATAGAAAACAAGAGTCTTTTTCAGGCCGATGAAGCGCTTTGGCTCCGACAGACTCACGATTTTCCGGTCGGAGCCAGTGGCTTTCCAGAACCCGTTCTCGGTTGTCCGGTTAGGCCTCCCACCGCTCCCATGCTTCCTATCTCGTGGCACGAAGAAATACCATTCCCTCTCTCCGATCTTCGACAACCCTACGAACGGAACACAGAAACAACAATGTAATCGTCTTCCCATCTCTGTCGAACAACGAAACAAAACCGTACGCACGTGTTTTTTCACTTACCAGGCAAGTCCCAGGGATCATGGCGGTAGATGTTGAGGAATCCGATCACATCGTGATGGAACTTGTTGTCGTAGATCATGTTTCTGAGGTAAAATTCGAGGAGTTCTTCCTCTGTCGGATGGAACCGGAAGCCTGGAAGCTCGATCTTTGAGGTGTTTTCATCCATACTGGATTGGCTGCTCATTGTGATCCTATAGAATATAAGACAGAAAATATGAGAAATGTTTGCTGCATGCAAAGGACACAATGGTTGGTGCATAAGCATCTGCTTATTTATAAATGTTTATAAACTGGAAGCGTTTACCAAGTCAAGTTTGTTTCGTGATAAAAAAAGATATCATCGAAATCGAATAGGTATAATGATAAAATTAACAACCCAACTTTTGTTCAAATGATAATTTTGTTTCCTAATCCTTTTTTAAGCAATTTACCCCCAAACATTTATATTTTTAATCAAAATAATCCATGCCGGATGAGAATCACTAGTTAATTAACGGTCTACATATGTTATTGACGTGACATTTTTAAATATGTTTAATCGATGACACGGTATATACCATGTGATCACTTTGGGTGACATGTCACATGTTATGTTATTATGGATGACAATGGGTTGAGTTAGGGTTGGGTTTTTGATCAACCTGACTCGACCCGAAAATATGTATCATCCACCCGACCCTAAAATTTTATATCGTCCACCCGATCCGATAAATATATATCTTCCACTAGACTCTGACCCGACCCAAATTTTTAGAGTATAAATCTAAACCGACCCGGTATAAAATAAGAATTTAATTAAAAGTAATAATAAATTTTTAAGAAATTTTTTTTAATGATAAAATTAACAACCCAACTTTTGTTCAAATGATAATTTTGTTTCCTAATCCTTTTTTAAGCAATTTACCCCAAACATTTATATTTTTAATCAAAATAATCCACTTTGGGTGACATGTCAAATGTTATGTTATTTATGGATGACAATGGGTTGGGTTAGGGTTGGGTTTTTGATCAACCTGACCCGACCCGAAAATATGTATCATCCACCCGACCCTAAAATTTTATATCATCCACCCGACCCGATAAATATATATCATCTACTCTACTCTGACCCGACCCAAATTTTTAGAGTATAAATCCGAACCGAGCCGATATAAAATAAGGATTTAATTAAAAGTAATAATAAATTTTTTAAGAAAATTACAATATTATCCTCAGGTCGGGTCGGTCAAAGTTTTTTCACCCTCCACCTGAACCCGACTCAACCTTGCCCCTTAAAAAATTGACCCGAACCCAATTTTTTTTTTAAAAAATATGACACTATTGAATCGGGCCGAACCGGTCATATTCAAGTTAAATTTTCATTCCTACATGTTATTACTTTGAGTGATGTGGCACATACCATATCATTATAACGAATGACATTTGACATATTATGAATTAAGCACATAAAAAGATATCATGTTAGTAATATACACTGATCATTAGACAATTAATGATTTTTATCTGAGATGAATTATTTTGATCAAAAATTAAAATGTTAACGAGTTAAAAAAATTAAGAATCAAACTGATTATTTAAACAAACATCGAGGTTTAATCTTGCCAATTAAATAATACATGTACCTTTTACGTAATTTCAGCCAACAAAACCTAGAAACAGAAGCCTGTGTAAGAAATGAGGGGACTGATACTGTGAAGTCATCGTTCTTGAATGGTGGAACCCACGCGCTTATAGCACAATAAAGTCACCAGTGAGAAGGGTAGACGTGGTTGTTTTCTTCGCTTGACTCCTTTACAGCTAGCTTTTGCTGGGAAATTCCTGGGGATTGCTAGCAAGCAATATTTGTTTTCCGAGAAAATCTTGTGCCATGCACATAGTTTGATCTTTGAACGACTGAGCCAAGAGATAGTAGATGAGCCATCTAGTCGTTCCAAACTTTTGTGATTTAGCTTTCTTTGAATTGGTCTCATAGGTTACTATTATTTGTTAATCTCACTTATACCGTGTAAAACTTTTTTCTTACGCACCTTAATATATATATATATATTTATTTATACCGTGTAAAACTTTTTTAGAGAATATCTTTACATTTTCTACTGTTAATCTCAGCCGTTAATTCTTCTAATCTAATAATCTTAAAAAAGTGTAAAACTAAAAGAGTTTTACACTGGAATTGGATCATGTCCGGTATATATAAATAAAATCTTTTTTAAAAGAAATTCTTGGGTTTTGATTGAATCATTTTTTTGGAATGATAAAACTATTAGATTCGAGTTTAAGGTAAAAAATATATAACCCGAAAATAATTATATAGTTGATATTTATATATTTAGGAATAATTGCTAAATTACTTAGCTTTATCTCTATATATTTCAATCTCGTCCTTATTTTACCTAATAAAAATTAGAATTATATAGATGAATATATATTTTTGTCGGGCATAAATCTTCACCTCAAAAATCGAATTCGGTCTTGGGTCAAATGGAATTTCCTTAAACCTAGATCGAGTCAAGTGACGGGCAAGAGTGTTATACTTGGATCGAATGGGCCAAAAACTTGGCTCGATCCAACTTTATATTAATATAGAATTAGACTCAAGGATAGGCATGCAATATGAATGTAATTAATTTCGATATGACCTTATAGGATCTGATTTTTTTAAAACGAGTCTGACTTTTTAAAAAAATTATAAAATCTTACCTATAATTAAGGATGATTGTAATAATACATCTCTATATTTTTCAATTAGATCGTATTTCATTTAATAAAATATATATATAGAGAGAGAGAGAGAAAGTCACTTGTTAAAGGAAGTCTTATTTTTTTTTTCCAAAATAGATCTCAAAAGAAATTTGAAGTGGTCAAGCCGTAATTTCGGAGATTGATATATTATATAATACGGAACCAGATAACATGTGTGTGAACATGTTACTTGAAGCACTACTAAACTGTTGACTCGACGACTCCACTCAATATCAAAAAGGGTATATTACAAATTTGACAATTGTACTTTACTCTTTCCTCGATTTTCACTCGTTATACTTTAAATCCTTTTAATTTTCTCACTAAACTTAATACATTAAATTTTTTTGTCACTCGGCCGTTAAATAGTTAACGGCGTTAAAATGAGATGTTATATAGATATAAAACGATATCTTTTTGGTGAAACTTTTGTTTTTATAAAACAACATCGTTTTTAACGCCGTTAACTATTTAACGACTGTGTGACTAAAATAGGATAGAAAGAGAGAGTAAAGTTCAGTGACAAAAAAACTCAATGTATCAAGTCGGTGAGTAAATTAAAAACTTATAACGTTCAGTGATAAATTCGTAGTTTACCCATATTAAAATGGGATTATTTCTTAAAGATGCTTGTGGGAAACTAATAAACAAACCAATATCACAATTAATCAATTAATTAAATGTAGTGCTTCTTAGTAGGAAAGTAATTAGTGGTGGGTCAATCAATTTCTTTTTATAAAATATGATGCCCCATAATGACTCATACTCTAAATTAATTTTAAAATTTACATTCTAAAATTTTAATATGTTTTTATATCATTCTTCAAATTTTATTTTATTTCAAACTATATTTTAATTTTTTAAAATATTTTATATCAATTCTAAATTATTAACATCATTCTATTTTGATTATTCCTTAGTGTATTATTAATTTGAATATTTAAAAAAATTTAATCTTTTTTTGAAGCTCATCTGAACTGAATATGTGACCTTCTAAAATAATTAAGAACTTCGAAAATAGATTAATCTTTCAAAATTAATTTTTTTTAGAAAACCAAATATTCAATTACATGACCTTCAAAAATTAATAGAACTAAAAACATTTTTATAGAATGTTGAAATGAAATAATATTGATAGTTTGAAAATTAAAATATAATACTTTAAAATTTATAGACTAATTTAAAATAAGATCAAAATTTAAGGGTTAATATAAAATATTTTAACTTTAAAAATTTATTTAAAATAAATATCATTATTTAGGTACATTCTATGTAATTAAATCTTATATAAATAAAGACTTTCATATTTGTAATTTGTCTTTTTTTTTGGGGTAAAGTACGTAAATAGTCATTCAACTATAAAGTATTGCTTTATTGAGGGACTATTAAAAGTTATAAAATGGTTCTCTGACTATAGTCTATTGCTTTATTAAGTCCCCCAACTATTAGAAATTATAAAATAGTCATCTAACTATTCATTGTGTTCCAAAATTGTTATTTTTCATTAAAAATTGGCAGTTGCCTAAGTTGAACATTAACATGATGACTAAGATATAATAGTCGTTTGAGATTCTAGGATCATATTTTATCATATTACAGTTAGCAGGTTAACGTTCAGCTCAGAATACCATTAACTTTTTACCAGAAAATGACGAGTTTAAAACCTAATGAATAGTCAGATGATTTGTAACTTTTAGTAGTCGAGAGAGTCATTAAAGTAACATTCTATAGTCGGATGATCATTTAATAACTTTTAATAATCGATGGACTTAATAAATCAATAACCTATAGTCGGAGATCATTTGTCTACTTTACCATTTTTTTCAAGATGTCAATTAAAAATAGAAAAGAAGCACCCCGCGTTCTTAGCATAAATTGTCTCAAATATACCACTACTTGTTACAAATTTAATTACTATTTCGTAGCATGTCGTTGTCATGTTTTTTTTCTTATTCTTGTTTTTTTTGTACAATATCTTTCGAATTAAATCATATTAATGATTAACATCGTTTTTCTATTTTTTTTTTGCTAATACGGTAACAAGAAATTGCTTAAAAAAAGTTAGTGGGGATGTTTAAGGTACGTCAACTTTAATATATGGTTAAGGAAAGACGTTACCGGAAATGTTAATATATTTTTTAACATTTTCGGTAAAACGCTACCTAAAACATTATTTTTCTACTGGAAATGTTAATATTGGGCGCTACTTAAAATGTTTAACATTTCCGAAAAAACGCTACCTAAAACATTATTTTTTCTACCGGAAATGTTAATATTGGACGCTACCTAAAATGTTATTTTTTCCAAATTCTAACATACAATTAACAAATTAAAGTATAATAATTAACTTTTCAATTTTCATAAAATCAAAACAGAAAGCTAATTATTAAACATAAAAAATGGTGGAAGCAATGAAGGTAGCTTTCCTGCAATTTCCCAGAATTGGCTTGCTGTCACTGGGGAAAGATCGAATCTGATTAGTACACAACAC